TTTGAGCTTGGAAAATTTTCTAGCAGCTTGAGGATGAATAAAATGCATCAAGAAATGCAGCTGCAAACTGCCCCGTTGCTCTCCACGCTCTCTCAAAGCTGCCATAAAATCCTGCAAAATCGGTTTTCCACAACATTTGTTGCACCCTGGCTGCTTATTTTCCACAGAAACATGTCCTGGTTTGAGGTAAAACAGGACCAATTTTCTGTTCAGTAACTTTACTTTTTAGCTAACCCTCTTCTAACTACTGAAATTATCAGCATATTTTTCAGACAGTATCCGCTTCTGGAGTGATAAGACCTATGTCTATAGCTGATGCCCAGGCATGGCATGCAGAGAGGCTCTTGCTTATACTTACTGCTATAACACCCAAGGGCAGATAACTGTGTTATTTGCCCCGTTGGAGGGTCAGAAGCAGAAAAGCATAGAGGGGTCCCACCTGTGGGGAGGAGCGGACAGGACAGGTGACCCCAAACTGACCAACAGGTATTCCATCCCATCTGCCTCATGCTCAGTATAAAAGCTGACGGATCTAAGGGTCACCCCTCTTTCTTCAATGGCCGATGTCTGAGGAGGACTTCGTTTGTTCGTCTGCCTTAAGCTGACGGATCTAAGGGTCACCCCTCTTTCTTCAATGGCCGATGTCTGAGGAGGACTTCGTCTGTTCATCTGCCTTTGATCCTGATCTGTGCATTCCTGAATTCAGACCTGGAATCCAGTTCCCGTCCATCAGTGGGTCCAGTCTGGGACTTTCCCAGTGCCAGCTAGTAACGTGATCGTCATCCTGGGAGCTCGATATGGTTTTGTATATATTTTTTTAATTATTATTTCATTATTATTATTTCATTAAAGTAGTTTAGTTCCTTCTAAACTCCTAAGTCTCTCTCTCTCCTGCCTCTCCTTGGCCAGTCTGGGACTTTCCCAGTGCCAGCTAGTAACGTGATCGTCATCCTGGGAGCTCGATATGGTTTTGTATATATTTTTTTAATTATTATTTCATTATTATTATTTCATTAAAGTAGTTTAGTTCCTTCTAAACTCCTAAGTCTCTCTCTCTCCTGCCTCTCCTTGGGGAGAGAGAGGTGGGGGACAGCATCTGTCATTCCACCTGAGTGGCCAGTCCGGCCCAAACCGTGACAATATGACTGACTGTGCCAAGCCTAATGCCATGGAGAACGAGGCTTGTTAGCATTCTTCGCCCATCGGTAACTAAAGTACGCTTCAGATATGACTCTTCCTCGTTAAAGAGGGACTCTTCCTAAGCAAATCCTTAATAAAACGTCATTAACATCTGTTATTCTGTGGGTTGGGTACTGAAGCTCATCTTGCACCGTTTGCTCACGGTGTTTCTGACATCCCATTCGCTTGCAAGCATCAGTTGCTGCCTGTGAAATACAGCAGAAAAATACAATAAAGCTTTAAAAAAAAAAAAAAAGGCACAAACCTGAAGTCATCTTATTTCACCTCAAACGGCTCCTGTCAGTAATCCAGTGTGCCAACAAACAAGGACTGTCTGCTAACAAGAGACGGCTTGTTGGGAAGCATCCCCCAGTTCTACCATGGGGGTGGTTAAAAGTTTCCCTTAGACTGGAAAATACTGGTTCCCGCTAGAGCTGGTTCTATCAGGTCTGTAAAGCAGACGGCCATAAAGAAACACAGGAATTTTTCTTTAAGAGGGAATAAGCAAAATTACCATCATAAAGAAAATTCAACATTAGTAGAGGGTGCGTACCTCCTCTGCCTTTCCACAGTATCCTTCCTGATGAATTATGTGCTACCGCGTTCTTCAAGCGCTTTACCCTTTACGTAAAAATTCTTTTCGACAGAAATTTTCCGGGCCCAATAGGGTGCTTTTCTTCATATGCTTAAAAGCAATAGCAAATAGTTGAAATCACCACTATTTTGGGGCTGGTGGGGGACAACGACCCGAGAAAGCTCTTATAAAAGAGAGAATCCACATTATTTTCTTGGTGTTCATGTTTATGTGCCGAAATGAGGAGCGTATGAGGTGACTTATTCCGCCGCTGTCGCCGCGGCGGGGGCGGGGCCTCGGTGGGGAGGCCCCGCCCCCTCGGCGTTGCCAGGTTACAGCGGCACCGGGGGGCGGGGTCGCGGCGGGGAGGAGGCGGGGCTTGATCCAAGCGGCCCCGCCTC